AGCGACTAGGTCCGATGAATTGTACAAGTTAGAAGTGTTTAACGTGGACGACATAAAATCGGTGATAATCGTTTCATTATCTGCTACTAAAACTAAGCAGGAAAGGTCGTTTTGTATTACTGACATGAAAAGTGGATCAAGTTTCTTGGAAATTGTGAGAAAGTATATTCCCTTGCGCCCCAAAAACGTATCTCACAGTAAGTTTTTTGTAAATTACCGACAGAAAAAGTGCACTACTCAACCCTTGGGGATTAACACTATATATATTATCCCTAAGAAGATTGCAGATTTTTTGAAACTTGCAAATTCAGAAATGTACACGGGGCATTGTTTCTGTCGTTCTTCAGCTACTATGTTCTCAAATTCTGGAGCTGATCTAGTAAAAGTTAAACGTTTAGATGGATGGAAATCGTCATCTGTTGCATAATCTTACAATGAAGAGTCAATTAGCAATAAGATTGCTGTATCCAAGTGTATACTTGGCAGACCAGAAAATCAATCCAGTACCTCGAATCAAGTGTTTAATGTATAATATTTCTAATAATGTTAATTGTAAAATTTCAATTGTTTTTAATCCTTTATATGTTTTTCTCTTTTTTTTTTCTTCATGTACAATGTCCTTTCAGAACGTTGGTTACCATCATAGCTATTTTAATTTTATTCACTGCCACCCTAAATAGCATGCTTGTATCTACACCATACCAATCTCGCATGTTCTTCAACCATGAGGTTCTTCTTCGTCCTGGACTGCGTTTGCCTGCTATTTTTCCTTGCATGATATTTTGTAGCAATCTATATTTGGGACCTCTCATTACATGTCCGAAATATTCCAGATTTCTCTGCTTGATACTTTTTATGATCTCAGTAGTCTTGCTGAGACGTTCAAGTATTGTGGAGTTACGAATCTTCTCCACCCAGGAAACTTTTAAAATTCTTCTATAGCACCACATTTCGAAAGCCTCAAGGCGATTTAGATCGATTTTATTCACAGCCCAGGACTCGACAGCATAAAGTAAGACCGAGAACACGTAGCAGCGAAGTAGGCGGATCCTTAATGCCAATTTTAGGTCTCTGTTACATAACACCTTGGACATCCTTCTAAAAGCAGCTCTAGCCTGCTCTATTCTGGATCTAATTTCGCCGTGATTTTCTGCATTACAATTGAATTGCTGTCCAAGGTAGACGATTTTATCAACTTGCTCAAGTTTAGTATTATTTACATATATAGACGGTTTTATATTCTGTTGTTTACTTATTACAAGTATTTTGGTTTTCCTTATATTAAGATCCAGACCTGCCTCCCTACAACTCTCAACGACACTATCAAGTAGTGTTTGCAGATCTTCTTGACTAGAAGCTAGGAGTACTGTATCGTCCGCATATCGCAAATTATTGATGACTTCGGCGTTCACAAGTATTCCTTCTTGTTTTTCAGAAAGTGCTTTTCTGAAAATTCTTTCGGAGTAAACGTTAAAAAGCAGGGGTGACAAGAGGCATCCCTGTCGTACTCCTCTTTTAATATTGAGAGCTTGTGATTCCACACCATCTACTAAAACTGATGTTGTTTGATTCCAATATAAATTTACAATTATTCGAACATCTCTGCCGTCCAAGCCAATGTCTTTTAGAGCTTCGATCAATATAGAGTGGTTAACACGATCAAATGCCTTTTGAAAGTCAATAAAACAACAGTATATGTCTACAGATATATCACGACATCTTTGTGCAAGTACGTTCATTCCAAACAGTGCCTCTCTCGTTCCAAATCCGTTACGGAAACCAAACTGAGTGTCATCCAGGTATTCCTCACATTTATTGTAGATACGACCATGTATTACCTTCAGAAAAATCTTCCATAAGTGGTTTAACAAACTGATGGTTCTATAATCAGCACAGGTTTTTGCTGTTGTCTTCTTAGGTAGAGCTATAAACAGTGAGTTAGACCAACCATTAGGTAGTTGTCCGCTGGTATAAATGGTATTGAAAAACGAAGTTATAGCCTCTAAAACATTGCTATCCTTATTCTTATCTGCTTATCCTTAATATGTTTGAATTTGTAAATTTTATTGAATAAAAAAAGTTAAAACATTTTATCTACTCTTGCTGTTAAAGTGTCACTTTATCTACCCTTGCGGTTAAAGTGATACTTTATCTACTCAAAACAGTTGTTATAGCAACACTTTAACATTATTTGCTATGGAAAAAAAAATTATTGTAAGTTTCAATGAAAAAAAAAAAACAACTATTTAAATTTTTCGCAAAGGTTGGTTTACAATAAAGGTAGAAATTTAATGTCACTGAATAAATCAATAATTCCAAATTGCTTGAATTTACAATTATACGATTTTAGTTCGATAGGGGTAGTTTTCACCACTAAAAAAATTAAAAGCAACCAACGGCACAACTCCAGTGGAGGGTAAGTATAACCTAAATCCGAATTTCCACGCAAATAAGTGGAGACAAGGTATTTAATGACTTGACATAACTTAATTATAACTATTCTAGGAAGTGAGATTTATGGGTATAACTGTGATAAAACCTTACATTAGGTTATTTAATATTCATTCACCTCACTACAAGATGATATGAATCAACTACCTTTAATTTACAACTATAAATACTATACTATTATTAATACTATACTATACTACACTAATATTTATACGATTTTTTTTCTAATAGGGGTAGTTTTCACCCCTAAATGCTAATAAGCAACCAATGGCACAAATCCAAAAGTGAAATAAAGGATAAGTAAGACCTAAACCAAGCTAAAAAAAAAGTAGGTCTTAAGATGAACTTAGAAAAAACAAAATAATGACAAATACACCGAACATTAGAAAAATAACGTTGGTCGACATAAATTTAGAAACAGTAAGCGAATACATCTACCTGGGACAGATAGTGAAAGTTAACAAAGAAAATCAAACTGCCGAAATGACCAGGAGAATAAGATTAGCTTGGGGAGAATTTGCAAAACTGAGTTGGATCTTGAAAAGCACTAAAATAGAACAATATTTGAAAACCAGAAATTACGATCAGTGTATCCTTGGTAGACTCACGTACATGTCCACAGACGTGGACACTCATCAAGTCTAATATGGATAAAATAGTAAAGGCACAAAGAGCGATGATTGAAAGGTCAATGCTCGGGGTGAAACTTATAGACAAAAAAAACAAACAAATGGATTAGAAGCAAAACTAAAGTAAAAGACACAGGAGAACATGCTGCCAAATTAAAATGGAGCTTCGCAGGACGCAATGCCCGACCGAAGGATCCGAAGGATAAGAGATGGAACCACGAAATACATTAATGGAGACCATGGTTAGGAAAGAGAAGCAGAGGAAGACCACAAATGAGATGGGCGGATGATATTAAGAAGATCGGAGGACCCAACTGGAAGCAAGTGACGCAAAATAGAAGACACTCAGTTGATTTGGGGGAGGCATATGTTCAAAGTTGGATTACTTAAGGCTGAAGAAGATCTAAATCCAAATTTTCATGCATTTGGTGGTGACACTAAAAATTATACAGTTTCGTTTTTCACGTTCGTTTAGTGGAGTATAGGTAAGGTAATAGACGTATTCGCATCTTTCTTTATTTCATAAGACTGGAGAACATTCAGTGGTTAGTAATTCTCAAAAATATTTCTTATCACTTTTTTTTATATTTCTACTGACTATCTGATTACGGTTTTAAAGGTAAACCAATCTTTGTAAAAGCAAATTTCATGTTATTTCGTTTAAGTAAGTATTGTAATATTTTGCGGTTTCAAATATAAACAATAAAAAATATTCTTTCAAAATTGTTTAATGTTGCAACGCCATGAAGAGCTGTTTCTACTTTTTACGCGGTAAAATATTACTTCGAACTGTTCGCCACATTTTAAACGAGCTGTATATTAGTAATTGGTGATTCATGCAAAACATTAAACATTGCAAAGCCTTGTAGTAAGAGGATTAGTTCAAAAAAAATGTTGTAAAGAACGTATCTTCTTGCACTAGTTCTGTATTAATGTTAATTTCCTTCGGAAAATGATTTCCGATTCAATATCTATCATAGTGTTTTACGGTGCACTACTTATTACATAGTGCAATATCTTACCAGTCTACTTAATTTCCAAGAAATGTTCAAATTTTGCACAATTCAGTCTTAATTGTCGAGTCAGATTTCTGTTTAAAATCTACAAATATTTAACCTGCATTGCCAGAGAAATGTGTCATTGCTTTATAAGGAAAAAAGACAAAACAAAGAAAGTCAACTTCTAAAACTAGAAAAATTTTAAAAATGACATAAAATTCGTACAAAAATTAAACAAGAGTAGAAGAGATTTTAAACCATGGACAGGACCCAACAGGAATATGTAGAGATAAAAAGGAAAGCCTGCTGACCAAAAAAAAAATGATACAAACCCATCTTCAGTAGATAAAATGAAAACAGTTTTCAAAAAACTAGAAAACAGTAAGTCATCTGGACCAAACAATATTAGTGTAGAATTTGCAAATCCATGGCTTGCAAAACATGGAAGACCAATTAGCATATGAACAATTATTGATTGAATTCACACTTTTGGATTTTTTTTTATTTCGGCCACACAACATCGACGTACTCATCTTTAATTAATTTTTATTAAAAATCCTTTGTAAAGGGTATATATTTAAAACACCAAACGAGCTAAGTTAGACAGACAAAACGCTTTCGGAATCCATGTTCCATCATCAGTGTCTAGGAGTACATGAATGTAGCCACTAAATATATGGGTAAAAACCCGTTAACAAATAACTGATTACATTTAGTTTACAAAATTTCTTATAATGATTTAAGATGTTAAAGTTACCGTTGGATTAGGTAACATGTCCTGAGACGGTGTGTCTACGAAGACTGTATGGGAGCAACTGAACTGTTCAGTTACTAGGTACTCTAAGTTATAAGTTAAAGTTAAAATAATAAAAAACAATTACTACGCAATAAATAATTTATTTAAATGTAAAAGTTTAAAAAATCAATTAAAATAATTAATGAGAGTTTGATCACTTTTGAACGCTTCCTTTATCATCTTTCCTCTTTCGGCACATTCAATTCTTCTTGTATCTACGTCAATAGTCACATTTTTCAATAAGTCTTTAACTGCATTATAGTTGCAATCGAATTCGCATTCTTTAAGAACCTTATGTTCTAATTTATCACCCGATTTAAACAGAAAATTTATAAAATAGCCCCCTTTGTTGTGTTTTCTTAATTCTATTATAAAAGCATCAGAAAATCCAATAGGCCTTATATCATACAGGCCCAAACCATACAATATGGGTGATATTGTTGTATCATGGGTTGCCATTAGCATAAATTTTTGTGGTTTGTCTTTTATCGATGGGTCAATAAACTTGTCAAGATTTTCAAAAAGGTAATTGTAAAAAACACCTACAGAAAGTCTTGTTAAAGTTGGAGTAGCAGCTGGGATCATGTATTTTGTTCCTGAAACCAAATATTAACTAAATTAATAATATACATATTTTAAAATTATAGTTACGAAAAGCTTTATCTTCACGTATTAATATATTCAAGGCATGGAAAAGACGTAAAAAACTGCAGAAGTTATAGAGGCGCACACATAGACTCAGATCATTGCCTAGTGATCTCAACATTGAGGGCTAGAATTTCAAACACCAGTAAAGAAAAGAAAATGGATACAAAAAAATTAAATGTGTAAAAGCTGAGAGATGCGACAATTGCAGAACGGTACTCAGAAAACATCACCAACAGGCTAAGGAATCAAAATGTAAATAATTGTATTGTAGTAGAAGAACTATACCATAGCATTAACCAAGTGTCGTAAAAAGGTTGAAAAAGCAAGACCTAATAATTGTCATGGGTAACTTCAACGTCAAAGTTGGGGCCAACAAAACATCATCTGTAGTTGGACCATTTGGTCTAGGAAACCGGAACGATCGGGGAGATACGTTGAAGATTTTTACGGAAGAAAATTAATTAGTAATAATAAACACCTGGTTTAAGCTACACCAAAGGAAACTGTACACCTCGGAATCTCCACAGGATTCTGTGGGAAGGATTGTAAGAAATCAGATTGATTACATGCTAGTAAATAAGAGGTATAGGAACAGCTGTACATCTATCAAAACCTATCCGGGGGCAGACATAAATTCTGATTTGTTCCAGTTGTAGGTAATTTCAATCAGAAGGTTAGAATGAAGAAGGTTACAAGTAGGTCGTAAGAAGAAGTGTGATGTTAGAAATCTGAAAGATCCCAATGTTCGACTGAATCAATACAAAGGTGCTAAAATTCAAAAATGCAGGAACTATACAGGAAAGTCTGACATCATACAAGAAACAGTAGGAGAATTAAAAGAACAACACCTGAAGAAAGATACTTCTTCTTCTTAACATGCCATACACCAAAGTGCGTACTATTTCATTACTAGAATTCTGTTCTTGGCGGCGTGACACAGCTCACCTGTATTGTGTATTCCTGTCCATTCTTTAATATTCCTTAACCAGGACAATTGTTTGCGGCCGGCTCCTCTCCTACCTTCGATCTTCCCTTGTAGGATTAACTGTGGTATTTCATATTTTGCTCCTCTCAATATGTGCCCAAGGTAACCAATCTTGCGTTTTTTAATTAATTCAAAGAGTTCTCTTTCCACGCCGGCTATATTAAGGACGTCATCGTTTCGAACTCTATCCACCCAAGGTATGCGCATCATTCTTCTCAATGACCACATTTCAAATGCTTCAAGTTTGTTGATAGATGTTTTTTTCAAAGTCCACGTTTCCATGCCATAAAGCAAGATGGACCATATGTAGCACTTGACCATTCTGTAGCGTATTTCGAAGTTTAGGTGTTGATTACATAGGAGAGGTCTGAATTTCACAAAAGCTTGTCTTGCCATTTGTATTCGGGTTTTTATCTCGTGTTGTGGATCCGATTGGTCATTGATTGTGGTGCCAAGGTATTTAAAAGTTTTCATGCGATTTATACGATTGTCACCTATGCATAATATCGGGTTTTCTGGAGGGTTTCTGCTAATGACCATATATTTCGTTTTCAAAATGTTGATTTTGAGGCCATATTTTTTACCTATGCTATTCACCCTATCAAGTAATAACTGCTGATCTTCCAAATTATCAGTTATAATCACTGTGTCGTCCGCATAGCGTAGGTTGCTAATTGGTATGCCGTTCACCTTAATGCCTAATTCCGTATCTTCTAATGCTTCCGCAAATATATTTTCAACATATAAATTAAAAAGCATCGGAGAGAGTATGCAGCCTTGGCGGACACCTTTCCGGATTTCAAATTCATCCGTATATTGGTCTTGATCAAACCTCACCTTTGCCATTTGGTTCCAGTATAGATTCTGAATAATTCTGATCTCCTTCTGGTCAATGTTGGCCCTATGTAGTAGTTTCATCATGATATCATGTTTAACATTGTCAAATGCCTTCTTGTAGTCGATGAAGGTGAGGTAGACATCTTTTCGTTGATCTAAGCAGTTTTGTATTAAGGTGTTCAAACATAAAATTGCCTCTCTTGTTCCTAGTCCTCCCTTAAAACCGAATTGTGTTGACCCGCTAAGTTCTTCTAGTATCTTATACATTCTTGAGTGTAATATCCTAAAGAAGAGTTTCAACAAGTGACTCATTAAACTGATTAAGCGGTGTTCATTGCATTTTGTGGCATTAGCTGTTTTTGGGATCATCACAAAGGATGACTGCAGCCATTCTCGCGGAATGTAACCAGTATCATAAATTCTATTGAACAGCCTTACCAAGATTTCGATATTCTCCTCGTCTAGTAGTTTTATTGCTTCTATATTAATTTCATCTGGACCTGTTGCTTTATGCATCTTTGTGGTTCTAACTGCATATTCTATTTCACTTCGCATTATTGATGGCCCTGATAAGTTTTCGGAAGGAAGTTTGCGCGTTGGTTGTGTTGGTCTTTCGTCATTAAAAAGGCTTTCTGCGTATTCTTTCCACGCCATTGCTATCTCTTCTTCTGACTCTATGTATTCGTTTCTGTCGTTGCGTATTCTTGTTCTGTGGTGGCTTTTGTGTATATTCGATATTTCTTTGATCTTTTTATGTAGTCCAAAACTATCTCCTTTTTCCTGCAATTGTTCTATTTCGTTGCACCTTTCCACCATCCAACGTTCTTTTGCTTTCTTAATTTTCTGACGGATTTCTTTGTGTATCTGTTTGTATTTGTCTTGATTACGTTGTTGTTTATGTTGCCTTCGCTTTTCCATTAGATCCATAATTTCGTCCGTCATCCATTCGTTATGCTTTATCTTTCTGATATGTGTTTTAACTTCCCTGTTTACTGCCAGAATCGTTCCTTTAATATCATTGACCATCTCTTCGATATCATAATTTTGTCCTATTACTCGCATTCTTTCATTAATTTGATTCGCATAACTCTTCTTCAGATTTTCGTCACTCATCAGTTCTCTTGTATTTATAGGTGTGCTGGTATTTGTATTTGTTCTCTTAATTTTTGCTAGTTTTAACCTCACATCTGCTATTAGCGGATTATGATCGGATGCAATATCAGCACCTGGATATGCTGCGATTCTTTTGATAGCGTTACGAAATCTTCTGTTTATTAAAACGCAGTCAATTTGGTTTCTAATTATTCGATTTGGATGGTCTCCCGGCGATCTCCAAGTATATAACTTACGAGGTGGGAGCTGAAACCATGTGTTCATGACGACAAAACCGTTCTCCTGGCAGAATTCACACAGCAGGTCGCCTCTTTCATTTCTAACTCCAAGGCCGTACTCTCCAATTATGGCCGTACTCTCCAAGAAAGATACAGAGAAATGAAAATCGTGGATGGCCAATGAAATACTTGAACTTATCGATCAAAGAAAAAAACAAAAAAAAATCTCCAAGAATATAAGAGAATACATACCATCGTTAGAAGAAAAATAAGAGAAGCCAAAGAGAAACGAAAAACAGAACAATGTCAAGAAATAGAGGAGTATCAGAGTCGACATAATAACTTCAATGTTCATCGAAAGGTAAAGGAAATAGCTGGTAAGTTCCGAAAACGCAACAGCGGAAAAATAACAAATGATGAAGGCAATCTTGCCATAACCAAAGGAGAAAGAAAAAAGTATGGGAAAAATATTTGAAGAAACTTTTCCATGAACTTAGAATAATACAAGGACCCACCATTGAAGAAAATTCAGGTCCCGAAATCCTACCAGAGGAAATAACGGTAGTGATTTCCAATACCATAGAAGGGGGCTGCAAAACTTAATGAACAAAATAACGGAAAGAAGTAGAACATATGGACTGGATATAAACTCGAAAAGGAAAGAAAACGGCAAGGAAAACAAAACTGGAGCAAATCTGTTTGTGAACCAAATGAGAATTAAACGTGTCTCACAATACAACTACTTGGGAAGTATAATCAATGAGTCGTGGGACAATACCTAAGAGATTAAATGTCGCATCGGAAAGGAAAATAGTGCGTTCTTGACTATGAGCTCTGTATTCAAGAGCCATGACCTCACACTAGAAATAAAAATAAGGCTTCTTAAATGTTACGTGCACTCAGTGCTTTCGTACGGAGTAGAAACGTGGACATTGAAGGCGAAAACTCTATCAAAACTTCCAGCTTTAAAGCTGTGGTTATACAGAAAAATTGTGAAGATACCATGGATAGACAAAGTCACCAATGAAGAAGTATTGTGGAGGATAAACACAACCGCGGATTTGGTCAACATCGTGAAGGGCCATAAGCTGCAATACTTGGGACATATAATGAGAAATTAAGGCAGATATGTGCTACTCAATGCATTTTACAAGGTAAAATTGAAAGAAAATGGGTCTCAGGATGAAGAAAAATATCCTAGCTTGCTAACCTGAGAACATGGTATAGAAGGACCTTAACACGGCTATTTCGAAAGTCATCATAGATAAAGTGATCGCCAACGTTTGAAATGCACAGGCACCCTAAGAAGAAGACAGGGAGAGGCGGATTTTCTGTGGGTTTTTAATCTCATTACAAAGCGATACCTGCCCTAGGTGAGAAAGCCTTTTCATTACTGTGACTAAAAAAGATTTTTGGACGTTTGGTGCCTGAATGCCTTTTCTATCAGGATCATATCCTGCACGCTTTACCCCACACAAGCTTATATGTGAGAGACATGTATGAGGTCCTTGTGAGAGACATATATAACAAAGTAACAACTAGTGTTATGACAGGTGTGCGAGAGACTGATTTTCGTGTGAAAGTAGGATTGCACAAAGGCTCGGTGCTTAGTCCTTATTTATTATCATTAGTGTTGGATCACATGAAAGCGAAACTACAGGGTAACAATAAGCTTAATATATGCAGATATAGTACTGTTAGTAGGAAAAAAGGAAAGTAACTTAGAACCAAACCTGGAACAGTAGAGACAAGCTCTTGAGGAAAAAGTGGTTAACATAAGTAGGACAAAAACAGAGTATTTGGAATTTTCATTTAAAGATAGGAATAATACAAATAACATGTTAACTCTGGATGGTAAGATTATTGTGAAAATAATAGTTTTAAATACCAGAATCACTATTATAGAATAATATAAGGTTAGATGGATGTGAAAGCGAGTGGTGTGTTGTCTGACAGAAAAATTCCAATGAACCTTTAGAGAAATTTCGATAAAACAGCTATAAGACTCGCTATGATGATCGCAAATAAATGTTCGCTAGTTAAAAAAAAAGAGGAACAACGAATGCATGTGACGGAAATGAGAATGCTTAGGTGGATGAGTGGAATGAAAAAAAAGTAAACTTAAGAATGAGTATATTAGGCAAAGGCTAGGGATGTCATCGCTCGATATCAAGATCAGAGAGCATAAGTTAAGATGATTTGGTCATGTTCAACGTTGAGACGTTAATTACCGAATACGAAGAATTGCTTATCTGCGGGTTTCTGGAAGAAGTAGGAAAGGAGGACCAAAGAAGACATGAAGGGAGGAGCTTACGCAGAGTATGTCGATAAATAGGATTGACAGTAAATCAGTAATCACTCTCATTTAAAATTTAAAATTAAATTGCATTCCTAGAAGAGGCTACATTAAAAGACTATAGTAAGTATAGTTCGAACCACCAAATGCTGTTCTCAGTACAAGTCTTATTCAAGAGACGCAGAAACGTCAACTGCGACGTATAAGCATGTCTGGTTGATACCGAGAATGCGTTCGAGTACAGCACGCCAAAATGATGCAAATACTAAAAGAAGCAGGAATTAACAACCAAGATCTGAAAATAATTAGAAATCTTTACTGAAAATCAGACAGAAAATCTCAGAGTTGAAGGTGAACACACTGTTCTTCTTCAGTGCCTTATCCGGTCGTGTTGGCGATCATCGGCTATCGTGGTTTTTTTGACTGCTCTGCGAAACAGCTCCGCTGAGGTCATCCCAAACCATTGTCGGAGATTTTTCAACCACGAGATACGACGGCGTCCCGGTCCACTTCTGCCAAATACTTTACCCTGCATAACGAGTTGAAGAATTCGATATTTTTCTTCGTTCCACATCACGTGGCCGAGGTACTGAAGCTTACGTTGTTTAATTAAATTAAGCACTTCTTTTGGACATGGTCCACATAAGATATTTTTAGTATCCTTCTGTATATCCAGATCTTGAAGGCTTCGATTCGTTTTTCAGTGGCTTGCGTCAGTGTCCAGGCTTCAACTCCATATAGTAACACTGGAAGAACGTAGCATCTCATTATCCGCATCTTGGTTCCCAAACTGAGATCACTGCAGCACAGCAAGGATCTCAACTTAATAAATGTAGACCGTGCCATTTCAATTCTGGATCTAATCTCTTGAACGTAGTTCCGTTGTGAGTTGAGGGTAGTTCCGAGAAAAGTGAACCTATCGACTCTCTGGATCTCTGCGCTACCTCCCATTAGTGCCACGGGATATAAATTTGTACGGCTGACAACCATGAATTTAGTTTTCTTAATATTAAGGTTCAGTCCGTATGTTACGCTCACAGTTCGCACTCTGTCTAGTAAGGCCTGCAGATCGTTTAGGCTGGTTGTTAGTAACACAGTGTCATCGACGTAGCTGATATTATTGATGTATTCACCGTTCACTCGGATTCCCATCTCTAGTTTTGTAAGGTGTTCAGTAAAAATCTCCTCAGAGTATATATTGAAAAGAGTCGGCGATAGTACACATCCTTGCCTTACTCCTCGCATGATCTTCACTTGGTCGGTCAGCTGGTCTTCGACCTTGACTTGAGCACGCTGGTTCCAGTATAAATTCATGACGATCCGAATGTCCTTCTCATCCAATCCTACTCTTTGTAGGGCGGTGACCATCTTCTGGTGCTGACAACGGTCAAATGCCTTCGCGTAGTCAAGTGAACACACTGACTATGTGAAAATCATGCGTCGCGTGGGGCAAGGCTGTATTTGGTCTCCTCTAATCTTCAATCTATACTGTGAAAGAATATTTATCGAAGCTTTTTCACGAAACTAAAAAGCGTATTCTACTAAATGGTTAATTCGTTACCGGCTAAACAACATCAGATATTCAGATGACACCATAGTACTTTCGGACAACTTAGAAGACCTACAAGTTCTTATGAACAAAAATAACGGATTGCAGTCAACAATATGGACTCAATATAAACGTTAAGAAGACAAAGCTTACGATAATTAGCAAGAAAAGGATAACAAAAGGTCAATACTACGTCAACCAATCCCCTGTAGAAAGAGTGAAGCACTACAACTACCTCGGCACCATAATAAATGAAGAATGGACCAACAAGCAGGAGATTAGAGCACGCATTGAAAAAGCTAGATCCACCTTTAATCGGATGGAAGCCTTCTTCAAGAGTCACAACCTCTCTCTTGATACAAAAATAAGAATGCTGCGATGCTACGTCTTCTCTGTCCTTTTTTATGGTGTTGAATCGTGAACCTTGAACGAAGGTATGTGCAGAAAACTGAAATCATTTGAGATGTGGCTATATCGGAGAATAATTTAGACCCTGCGGACTGACTGAGTCACAAATGAGGAGGTCCTCAGAAGAATGAATAAGAACTGGGAGGTACTGATCACCATCAAATCACGAAAGTTACAATTCTTTGAACATATTATGCGAAATTAATCCAGATATGCTCTCCTTTAAGCCATCCTGCTAGGAAAAATATTTGGAAAACGAGGTCCAGAATGAAGAAGACATCTTGGTTAAAGAACCTCAGAATCTGGTTCAATACAACATCTGTGCAGCTTTTCTGCGCTGCTGCAGATAAAATAAAGATTGCCATGATAATCGCCAACATTCGTAACGGATAGGCTCATCAAGAAAAAAAGTATAGACTCCCTTCTAGAGTAAATCATCTTAGTCGTCGTCGACCTGTTATGTTCTGGCTGAGCAACAAAAAGCAATATAATAAAGAAATGAGAGATTTTTTTACCTGCTATAAAATCCAAAGTGTTCTGATCCATTTTTCCTATCCATTCGGGAATAAACGAGGTATTGTAATTCTTGTAGATATACAAAGAACTTCTCACAGCAGCCACGTTAGAAATAGTTACATCTTCAAATCCGGAATGGGCGGAAATATTCTCGAAAAACTGTAAATATTTCTCTCTGAAAACTTTATTGTACACTTTTAACGTTTTGGCGTATAGTTTTACGAATTTGTGACAATCTTGTTTTCTTATGTACGTCTCTAATCCTACATGAACTGGAACGGGCTGCCATGGAAGTTTATCGTTCCATACTTGATCGTCTTTTGGAGGATACAGTCCAGCCAATGTGGCTGAAGCTGACATCAAACATCGATCTAGATTTGAGGACTGAACGTATATATCTTTACTGAAATATAATTCATTCAAAAAGCCGCTGTATTTTTGGCGGAGCCATTGTCCTAGTTTGTACTGTCTCTGAATTCCTTTCTAAAATTAAACATAACCTTAAACTTATTGATTAATGAAATACACCACTGGTAATAATACTAGGAATTATTAAAGTCAAAATAATTGCAGTTTAAGCAGTTGTAAAAAAATGCTTGTCAAAAGTTAGGAATATTAAAAGTGTTTTATCCAAATTTAAATTTAAATATATATTTCGAACAATTGTTTATTGTTTGTGTCTAGCTCTTAAATTAAAATAAACTTAGCCGTCAAGTTGTTACTGAAACTCCATTAAAACAATCTTCTATTCTAAATTTATCATCCATCGAATGGCAGTCTTTAAAATGATTGGATTGGCCTTTGGCAAACGTAGTTACTCTCGGACTTTATATTTTAAGCAGTTCCTATATATTTCCGGTCTTCACCCTGTAATTTTTTTGACCACCGCCCGTCATTAATTCTGGCCACATAGCCCGCCCAGATCTACTTTAGCCATGCTGTGCGCTCTATTACATCTATGACACCGTTCTTCTTCTTATTTCTTCTTTTCTAACCTTGTTTCTGACGGTCAGTCCAAGTAGTTCAATTAGGAGCGCCTAAATGGAGGACTTCGCAGATTGTGCCGTGACGTCACACTTGACAGATATGACCATGGAGTGACGTCACGAATCATGTTGTATTAATATAATAAGATCGTCGCTACGATAAGGGAAGTACCTTTACCTCCGATTAAAGGTCGATTCACACACATCAGTCACGTCACAGTCACGGTACCGAACCGATCCTGTTTGGTCACAGAACTATCAACTATCTGACAGCTGGCAAACTGTTCGTCAACTGATGAGTGTGAATGCCGGCGCCATATTTGTATTAAAGAATATTTTGTATGACGGATTGTTCGATTCGGTGCAATCACTGTGACGAGATGGTGACGAGACGTGACTGATGTGTCTGAATCAACCTTAAGTATTTATCTGGCAGATGAAAAAGGTAGCCTTTCAGTTCCGAATAAACTTACCGATAGATAAAATGTCAAATATTTATTTGTCAAATAAAGTACGGAAAAAGTTATAACTTATATAACTATAAGGTATAATATTTGAGAGAGGATCGACAATTGTAATTGGTGTAATGAAGAGTTTTAATAGGTTTAGATTAAGTAAACCAACAGTGATCAGCAAATATATTGTACACAATTGTTAATAAAAGATTAAGACTTGATTGGGTCTGAAACACCTTATTACACTCAAGACAAATTACTCACATTTTCTTTTATTTTTGAAGAAAGAAATCTACAATTAAAATACCAACGAATTGACAGTCAAAAAATAATTTCTTACACCTAATAATTTCTTATACCTAAAACTATTACATGCAATATATCAAAGTTCTGGGAATTTTGTGCAGAATCCAAAAATTTTATAATATAACCAATGTCTCATTTAAAATATTAAAGTTGGTATCATAGTAATTGATATATAACATCAGTAAACATCCTGTATATAAAATAATAAATTTTTATTGGAAAAAATGCTCAAAAAGTTTTTTCTAAAATACTTTTTAAAAATATTTTAAAAAACCTTTAATTTTGATTAAAGTAATTATATTATTAATTTATAAAAGAAATGTTAGCAACCAACAATACACATAAACCTCATTGACACATTCAGAAATGGATACAAATGAACTGCGCATGTCTGCACAGAATAGTGCGTCAGGCTTGGTGACGTCACGGCACGATCTGCGAAGTCCTCCTTTTAGGCGCTCCTGTTCAATTCCCGTTTCATTCTTCTTTGGGTTACTCTGAGTTTGGTTGCTGTAGTCTAGGTTAAGAAAAGTGTAGAGAAGCTTAATTTGTCATTTTGCTCTTGAAGATATCTGATAGAGTTCTATATGCGTTCCATGATAAAGTGTTTCTTCTTTGCAGTTCTGCAGTTTGATTATTCCTGTCAATTTGAATTTCATGACCTAAGTATTTATATTTATGAACTAATCCTATTTTGTTGCAGTCGACTTTTGGATTTTCGCTTGGTACTAGATTTGCCATGTACTGTGTATTTCCAAAGTTTATCCAAATCTTTTCAAACCAAGCTCCACACAGGTGGAATCTTACTCAGTAAGCATATTTCCAATCTCTTTTAAGTTATCTGTTATCAGACCTAGGTCATCCACAAATCGTAGGTGGGAGACAATTTCGCCATCGACACTGATTTCTTTGGCTTCTCATACCAATTTTTTGAAAGCATATTCCAAGAGTATATTTATAAGAGTAAAGAGTTTGATAGATAACGTGTCTTTGTCTGATTTCTCTTTTAATTTTTATACAGTTTGGATGTTTGTGTAGTCTTACGATCATGGTTGCATTATTGTATATATTCGCTATCAGTTTGAAGTATCAATAATCTATGCAACTTTCCTCCAACACTCTCATTAAGCTGTTAATTTCTATTGTATCGAATGCTTTGCGAAAGTTGACGAAAGCCAAGACCAATGATAGTTTGTATTTGATGCATTTTTCTATAATCCCTTTTATGCAGTGGAGGAGGTCGTTAGTGCCACATTCACAGCCACATCACATAGTTAAACATCCCTAATCTAAAACTTTCTTTCAAAGTTAAAGAAAATATCAAATCTATTTTTCCCACACTAAAGACAAAATCAACAAATCGTCAAAAAGTGGTATTTATAAATTATCCTGTGGTGAATTCCAGGTGACCTATGTGGGTAGAACAATGCGACCTTTGGATATACGCATTAAAGAACATCTGTCTAAGATTGATAAATCTAGTTTTGGGAATCATATACATGCTTCAAAGCATGGCTTTAGTCCTCATAAAGATAGCAAGATCCTACACAGTATACCCAATAATAATTATATAAAAATGAATTTACTAGAAGATCTTGAAATCAGTAGAGAAATGAAAAGGAATCGTCAGAACTGTGTCAACACTCAAATTAACTTAAATTGTAAGTTTGATCCAATCTTTAAGAAGTTTCTTTAATAATGCATTTAGTATAAAATTAACCATCATTTGATCAAGCTTTGATCTTTATTTTAAAAGAGATTTAAAAGAGATAATTACTTAAATTTTCTTTCATTGATTTCATCTAAGTAGAGAATGTTTGATATTTTTCTTCTTCATTATTTATTTTATTAATAATATTGATAATCAATAACAGCTATTGAACTCTTAAATTAGCAAATGATACTTCTCCTTGGTTGGTTTTCATCTACTTTCTTCTACTTGGTCAAACTTTAAAGTTTTGTTTTTTGATAATATTGATAAATGTATATTTTAAATCTTCACGTTAACTTATCAATTTAAAATATTTAAATTTAAAATTCTATAGTAACTAAAAGTAATAATCAATAACCTTCAGACGTCAGTTTAGACATTTTCAATTTTCAATTAGGTAATAATTTTAAATACAAAGGTCGCTCTCGGATTATTTCCGTATATCCGAGCTTCCTTTTTCATTTTACTTCAAAAATGTAAGTCAAAAACAGCTGTTGTCGTTGCTGTATGTGGTAACCATGTTTTATAAAAAAATTTTGATGTGAATTATACATATGTATAAGGGTTAGACCCAAGATCTGTGGCCTACAGAGCCCGATCTTTGTATTTTAATATGTCGTTTGTCCACAATTTTCCTTCTATGAAGTATTTATTGCCTAATTGACGTAAGTTTTTTCTGTCATTGTATTTTATATAAAAAATTTACTTAACTTAACGTTATTTTAGGATAGCTCTGATGATGACATTTATTATGTCGAAAGTATACTCAGCTTAATTAATAAATTATTTTACACACTATCAATTTTATTGAAAACATACAAAACCTGCTTACCAGTTAGACCTATTTAGAAGTGTGTACAAGTCTTAGTCTTTTTCAATTTACAGTCTTTTTCAAGTTAGTGCCAAAGTTTTTTTTTAAAACCTGCCTGTTCCCTAGCTTGGTAACAATTAAATTTTGTTTGATGTCTAAGTGTAATATGCCAGCTTGAAGGTGTTTCACTTCTCTAAAAGCTTACCTTCTCCAATTTTTGCGCATCAAATCCGATCCTTGGTTGACTAATAAATGATGACTTTTTTCTGAGTTTTCTAGCTTTTCTATTAGTTGCTCATCATGGTTTTGTTGACTTTTGTATAATTGTGTATCGAGATCTTCTACTACTCTTAATAAATTCATTTGTGTTGGTGATAATATTTCCATTTTTATACTTTAATTTGTTTTAATTTGTCTTATTTGCTATTTGTTAATTTTCTCCTTAGAACTTTGAGGCTTTTGTTATTTTTAATAGTTTGTTTGATTTGTTCACTTTTATGCTTTCGGTTTTCCATCTCACTTTGTTCTTTTACTTAATTCTTGTAAAGTTCTCCCCTCTTTCATGAATGTTTGTGTTTGGGGACCTATTCTTTCTTTACATGATTTTTTTTGTCATTGTATCTTCTGGCTTTTCTGTAAAGTTTCTATTATAATGTCATTAATGGTGTTGAAATCTAAGTTTGCAAATAAATATCTGATCCAAATATCGTTAATGTTCGGAAAACACTTTAAGAAGTTTTCCAATCGTTAAATTTATTCTCATAACCATTCCATTTAACGGAGGATACAAGGGCGTCGTTTTGGTCTTATTGGCACAAATCAACTAGCAAACGTTTTGAAAAAGTGCCAACTCGAAATTTCGCGTTTGGTCTGAGTGGACTAAGGAAACGCCAAAACGGCTGAAAAACTAAATATAATCAATTGCCATCAGGAATAATTAATTTTCAGCATTTGTTTATGGGAACTGGCCCATTGCGCATTGCATACGATTCCCATTTTCGGCAGCATATTTTTTAGATCTTCTTTCCAGTTTACCCAATAGAGCGGTTTTCGAACTAAGAACTCAGTTACACAAAGTGCCCACCTGATGCACCATTATCTAACTGACATAATACTTCTGACACTTTACTTTTCAAAATTTCTACTTCTCCGAATCTGATTTTTACAGTTTTTCTTCAAATTATTCCAAACGCTCGTAATCTGGTTGGAATAGTGATTCATTTGCATATGATGTTAAAAGTGTTAATATTTATTTATAATCTTAAATAAAGCAACTTCATCATCCAGCCGAATTTTCACATCCATTGTTGGATATAGGCCTCCTCCAAACGTCTCCAGTTCTCTCTATCTCTAGCTGCTGCAATCCAGTTTGTTTCTATTCTCCTTAGGTCGTCGGTCCATCGGGTGGGTGGTCTGCCTCCACTTCGCTTGTCGGCTCTTGGTCTCCACTCCAATAATCTCTTCGTCCATCTTCCGTCTTCCATTCTAGCAACATGTCCAGCCCACCTCCACTTTTGTTTATTGATTCGCAGTATAATATCGTCTACGCTAGTTCGTCGACGTATCTCCTCATTTCTTACGCGATCTTTTAAGGTCAGGCCCAGCATTGATCTCTCCATTCGTCTTTGTGTTACCCTCAGTTTTTCGGCAGTAGCTTTCGTTAAAGCTAAGGTCTTTGCTCCGTAGGTCAAGACTGGTAAGATGCATTGGTTAAATGCCTTCATTTTCAGGTGAATTGGGATATTTGTTTTAAAAATGTCTCTCATCCGTCCATATGCCGCCCATCCCAACATGATTCGTCTACTTAGCTCGCAGGTTTGGTTGTCTCTGGTTATTCTAATTTCATGACCCAAGTATGTGTATTTATCGATTAATTCTACCTTGTTGTTATTGATCTGTATCTCTTCGCTGGGAACCATATTGGTCATCATTTTGGCTTTCTCGAAATTTATCTCCAGCCCAGTTTCTTGTAGTATGTCCTTCAGTTCTTGGAGCATGTCTTTGATCTCTCCCAGATTAGCTGACAGAAGCACGATATCGTCCGCAAAACGTAGATGGTTTAATCTTTCTCCATCGATGGATATTCCTTTCTGTTGCCATGTTAGTCTTTTAAATGCATACTCAAGAACGGTAACGAACAGCTTTGGTGACATGGTATCACCATGCCTGACTCCCCTTTTTATCTTTTTTTATTAGTTGCAGAATAGAGACTTATGGTTGTTGTGGCATTTTCATATATATTTTTAATTATATTACAATATCTGTGGTCGATCCTGCAATCTTGTAGTGATCTTAAGGTGGACGGTAGTTCCACTGTATCAAACGCCTTTTTTAAAGTCTACAAATATCAATGCCAAGGGACGGATATATTCGTTAGTTTTTTCTATTAGGGTTTTTAGGCACTGCAGGTGATCGTTTGTGCCGTAATTAGGGCGGAAACCAGCTTGTTCCCGAAGTTGGTAAAAATCCAGCTTTGTCTCTAATCTATTCGTTATTATTCGGGTGTATAATTTATAAAGATGGTTAATGAGACTGATTGGTCTGTATCTTTCCAGGTCTGCTATATCTCCCTTCTTGTGTAAGAGTACAGTTATTGAATTATTCCACTTTGTTGGGATATTTTGATTGCATAGGCATAGATTAAAGAGCTTTTGAATTTTGGCTATCAGTACTGAGCCTCCTATCTTTATCGCTAAAGATAAAAATAAAGCAACTTACCTTTGTTAATTGTGCGAATCCCATAGGCCAATAAGATTCTTTAAAGTATTCGTCGGTTGGAAAAGATGCCATAGGGGATCTGTCACCATGCCTAAAAATCTGGTAATCAAACATATTGTGATTACATTTATATGCCTGTACATTGACCGTAAGTTAGTAATAACAGGATATTTACGAATATTTGTTTCTTTAACTGGCTTTATAGTAAAATATAGAAAAACATTATACAAACAAATATTTGCAAATATAAAAATCTACACAAATCTTCCACTTACCAAAAAAATCCACCAAAATAAAAAATTCTCTTAATAAAACATCAGAAGATTTTTTTTACCAAATAAGAAAAACAGGATTTGTTTAATTTATTAATGTTTTGTATTTTGAGAACGATTTCCGGAGTAGAAATTAAAACGTAAATAAACTTATCTTAAAGTGAAATTGTGTATTTTATAAATCCTAGTATCACTGTCCGACAGTCACGCGAATACTAGATTATGGGTGTGAAATATGGATTATAACACGGAAATCTTCCAATGTGTTAGACGTGTTTAGAAAAAGAAAAATATTACGGAGATACTGGTCCCTCCGTGAGTCAGTGAAAATAACAACTGGCGAATTAGAAATTAACACTAGCACAATACACTAGACTGCAGCGATTACGGTGGGCAGGACACGTGGTCCAGGTATGAGAACAGAATCCAGAGAAGATTGCTACTCTATAAATGCAAGAATGCAACCAAAAAGATCTGTTTAACCTTTGTATTGTCTCTGGGTATGTAAAATTCAAATGTTTATATATTTTTTATATCGTAAATTTGATAAACGTATTTTAGTTTTGAAATATCAGTTTGGTTTCCTTTGAAATAAAAGAAACACATCTGTTGTTTATGGATCCAGCTGTACCCAGAAGTGTTTCCAAATGTACCTACGTGATGTTTATTTTGTTTATTTTTCTGAGAAGGTTGGTTAGATTTTATGAGTTCTATTTTCGGAAGTCGAGTATCTTTAGTGTTGTACCAGACTTACTCGCTTGAACATTAGAGTTGAGTGTGGTGTACAATCATTTGTGAAAAACAGAATAATAAGCACTTGCTGAAAAATGAGCTCCAGCAGAGGACTCACGGAAGAGGAATTACGAAAAATCCTTGAAGAATACTTAAGAAAATGAAGATGAATCTACCAATTTAGAAACCGTCACTAGTGATGAAAAGTTAGTAGATGAAGAATTTTCTGAAGATCTTGTATCGACGGTTGATAATAACAAAGATGAAAGCGAAAATTCGGAAAATGAAATAGAAGTTCCTGAACAAGAACATGTACAATATACTGCTCGCAATGGGACAGTTTGGAACAAATATCCACCACCTCAGTCACGTGTAAGGTAAGTGGTGGCTCAAATGCTACACATATTTTCTTACTAAATATGTGGGTTTTACTAATTGCGTTGTATATTGTTTAGATCTATCAATATACTAAATCCTGTGCCAAGTGCCACCAAATATGTCACTCAACGAATTACCGATGTACCTATATCTTCAATGAGATTGTTTTTCACTGATGAAACGCTTCATTTACGCTTAATGGAAACTAACAGAGAACGTGGTGGTATATGTAATGAAAAATGTTAACTGTAAAAGAAATATCACTGGAAGAGTTAGAAGCTTTTATAGGTAAATTCTTTCATTACAGTTATAAAATAAATTAACTTGAAATTTTGCATTTTTATTTCAGGTTTACTTCTTCTGGCTAGTGTTCATAAATGTTCCGGAGAATTTCTGCAGGACCTTTGGAGCAATTTTAATAGTAGGCCCATTTTTAGAGCTACTATGACTCGAAAACGATTTTGTAACATCAGCAGCTTTTTGCGATTTGCAGGATAGACTTATTCGACGGAGGCACGACAAGTTAGCTCCAATTACAAGTTTTTTTGATTTATTTGTAGCACAACTTCCCAAAATGTTTGTTCCATATAAAAGCCTCACTGTCCACGAATAACTTGTACCATTTAGAGGTAAGTGTTCCTTTAGACGGTATATTCCAACAAGGCAGCCTATTCCAAAAGCAGAAAATCAGCCCCGTGACGTAAATCAGGGCAGAAATGTGGTTTACGACTTATAAAAGATGTTCAAAATTCTGGGCAAAACATAACCACGGATAATTTTTTTACTGACTACCATTAAGCGACTGAATTATTAAAACGTAAACTAACTCTTAATTGGAACATTACGAAAGAAGAAAACTTTTATTCCAGTTGAATTTCTACCAAATAAAAGTAAAGAAGTCCTATCATCAATTTTTGGGTTTCAGAAGAATAAGAATACTTTAGTTTCATACAGTCGTAAAAAGGATAAATATGTATTTTTTTGTCCTAGATGCATTTAGATGACCAGGTGTCATTACAAGAACATGAGAAACCAGACATTATTTTAGAATACAATAGAACCAAAGGAGGTGTAGATATAACAGATAAATTAGCGTCAGCTTATATCTGCAAAAAAAGAAACTAAAAGGTGGCCCCTTTGCTTATTTTATAATATTTTAGATTTGGCGGTAATTAACGCATATGTGTTATATATGCATGTAAATTCTCAATATAATAGGAACAAACTACATAAAAAGAGGCTTTTTATAAAATAATTGGCATATTATTTAACAGAAAAATGCCGAACTACCCGAATGACAACAAACGTTCCACAAAAAATCCAAATAAATTTACATGCAGTAGCTAGAACAAGTGGACATGCAAATGAAAGTTCAAAACGTGGAAGGTGTAAAGACTGCGGATAGGAAAAAGTCAGAAAATCTCATACAAGATGTCAAGCATGTAAGAGGTTTATTTGAACCTGATCATTCTAATATCTTTTGTAAAAGTTGCATTGAATAAATACAGGGTGAGTGATGAGGAACTTTACATACTTCTACCATATGTAGAGTCCCTCAGGGAGCATATCATGTGGCCACTAAAAAATGTCAACTCCTCTTCTTTAGTAATTAACAGGGTGATTTGTATAATTGACGATTTATTTCATTTTACTGTAGTGTTTATACGGCTCATTTGATTTTTTAAATTTTTGCATGATACAGTACACTACTATCAAGCATTCGACTGGTATTAGCTAAACTAAAAAATTCCAGGATTGGCTTGGGAAAAATTAATTTAGGGATTCGTATTAAATATTACATCCTGTATATATATATATATATATATATATATATATATATATATATTTTTAAATGCAATAAGTGATTTTCAAACTATATAAATAGCCAATGAAAACGACATATGCGACAATGTTGTCGCACTTTTATTAAATTTTTAGTGAACGATCAAATCTTACCAAAAATAGAACAACCATAATGAAGTATCAAATTATAAGGTAATTAATTTAAACAAATGTTATAAATTTCAAACATTTTAATTGAAATGATAAACTGAGTCACTGCACAACAAAAAACAGTAACTACTAACAATAACGAAGAACAATTAAAAAAAAAACTAAAAATATGTACATGGTTATGATAAACCCATAAATTAGAACTGGAAAAGATACAATAATGGTAACAAAATAAAAATAATTCAAAATAGATATTCGAAATTGAACCCTGCAGCCTGTACACATTTTTGTTGCCAAATTGTTAATTGACGTGTTACAACAATGTATAATTCTATCAATTAATTGTTGTCGATTATTAATATTCACTGCGTAAACTAGTTGCTTCAATCGTCCCCAAATATGGTAATCAACGAGATTGAAATCAGGGGATCTTGAAGGCCACGAAATAGGACCTGCACGTATTATCCACCTGTTGCCATAAACATTAGTGAGATGTTGTCTCACTGCCAGTAAAAAGTGTGGGGGTGCCCCATCATGCCGAAAATACATCCCTTGGATAGAAACGTTCGCGTTGGCAGGCAAATTCGGCAAAATATTTTGTAGAAAGTTCAAATAGACCTGCCCTGTTAAAGGACCATCAAAAAAGTGAGGACCTACTAATTGGTTATTTATGACACCAATCCACACGTTAACCGAAAACCTTAACTGAGAACGACGTTCTCAAATAGCATGGGGATTTTCTTCTGCCCACACACACACATGAATTTCGTGAATTATTTATCCCGTTTCTGGTAAATTGTGCTTTATCTGTAAATAGTGTCCTGTATAGCGTTAGTCGATTATTGTTAATCCATCTACAAAATTCCAACCTATCGATCTCATCTCCAGCATGTAGTCGCTGAACCATTTGAATGTGATATGGGTATAGATTATTTTTTTGTAAAACTCTACTTACTTTTGATTGAGTAACATTGAGTTCTCGACTTACTTGTCTAGTGCTTATTGTAGGGTTCATAGTAACGGCGTCCATAATGTCATCTTCCTGCCTTCATCTACATGTCGCTGTGTTGTTCCACTAGGAAAAGTGCCATTTTCTCGCAAATAATTAAAAACTGACCCGAATGTTGGATGACTGGGAGTTCGACGATTAGGAAATCTCCTGCGATATTCTCTACTAGCAGCCCTATCATTCAAATTACAGAATCCATAAACAAATATTATGTCTGCATATTCTGTGGTCGAAAACTGATGTGGCATTTTGAACGAAAGTAACAAAAGCTCTACCAAAACTAACACAATGTACTTAACGTAGATATGGCAGAAGAAATATGTATTCTTGTACACATAAAAAACAAACAAAGAAAAATGAAATAAATGATCAATTACACAAATCACCCTATTAACTAATAAAGAAGAGGAGTTGACATTTTTTAGTGGCCACATGATATGCTCCCTAACGGACTCTACATATGGTAGAAGTATGTAAAATTCCTCATGACTCACCCTGTATATAATTTTAATTGAATTAAGTTTTGTTATATCTTTTATTACAAAAAAAATGTTTCTAGTTTTGATACATCGATAACATGAAACTATAAAAGCTTCTACGAATTAATAAAAAAAAATGTAATTTAATTCACAACAGGTATGAGATTTATCCACTGGGTCCACCCGTACCCATAAACAAAGAATGTAACGTTTACTTCGGGAGGGAGTAGGAAGGTTAAAGAACAAAAATGAGATAGAAGGGCAAAGTAGATGTGGACGACAAAAATCTCCTATAAACACGTTCATCCATTGGATGGATGTTATATTTAGATGTATTTTACTAATTTTTTGATGGGAAGTAATCAAAATTTTAATTAAAACGTTTACTAAATTTAAAGAACTTAATGTATGTTGTTTGCTTTTCTCAAGAAGGCACCGGCCACAGAGAACATCTTTAAAACCGTATGGCGAGCCGCTCAAATTCTCAGAAAAAATTAATTTTCTCGGAATGGCATTTGACCAAAAATTAACATGAAAACAATATATTTTAGAAATAAAAAAGTCTTGCCAAAATGCATTAAATGTAATGAAAACATTATCAAATAAAAAATGGTGATCCGACGAAACCACGTTATTAAATATTTATAGGTCACTCGTTAGATCAAAAATAGATTATGGGGCTATTGTGTATGCCTCCGCTAAAAAACATGTTACCAAGCAACTTTAAGTCATTCAGAACACAGCACTTCGCATTGCCATAGGTGCATTTAGAACCACACCAGTTAAGAATCTCCAATGCCTCACAGGAGAGCCACCTCTTAATCTACGAAGAAATTATTTATGCCTTTCGTATGCAACATCGGTCGCCAGCAACAAATTCCACCCAGTATTTTAAAATGCATTTACGGACCGTTACCTAGAAGCTTATAACAAAAGTAGGTTCGATCCACCATTCTACGAAAGAGTTCGAAGAACTTTAAAAGATCTACAACTCCAAATTTCTAACCTCTTTTCTTCAAATGTAAAAACTTCACTTCCCTGGTTATTCATGATTCCCGAAATCAATACGACGCTACTTCAATATAACAAATCAGATACATCACCCACTGTAATCCGACAGTCATGTTTAAAGGAACTCGAGACTTACGGGAAAAGCTTTTGCATTTATACAGATGCCTCCAAATCTGCAAATGACGTAGGAGCAGCATTTGTCACTCCATATTCCTCTTCCCAATTTAAATTAATGCCAGCCACTTCTATATACACAGCAGAATTATATGCAATATTACAAGCCCTCATTCATATCAAAAGTATAAACCATTCTTCTTCCGTCATTATCACAGATTCTCTAAACTCCTTAACAACAATCGGTCAACTATATACTAAGAACCCTATAGCCTTACTTGTCAAGAAAGAACTTGCTGTCTTACAAGAATCTGGTTCAGAAGTCAAATTTATGTGGGTTCCATCTCACACGGGAATACAAGGTAATGAAAACGCAGACCTCCAAGCAAGAGAAGCTACCAAAAATGATCAAGCTATAATAGTGTCAAAGACTATCTGTAGTGATATAAAACAGTTCGATAAAGAAAAAGTGATTAGTGCGTGGCAAAATAAGTGGAACTTATCGGAATCTAAATTAAAAGAAATTAAATCGACAGTGAAACCGTGGCGCCTAGTAAACTTAAAAAGAGCTGACCAAGTCAAAATTTCTCGACTTCGATTAGGTCATACCAATATTACTCATAAGCACCTAATAAGTAAAGAAGACATTCCAGTTTGTGATTACTGTCAAGTCAATATTACTGTTAAACATGTCCTAACAGAATGTGGAAAATATACAGTTAACAGACAAAATAACAATATTTCCAGTGACTTAAAAACAGTATTAGGTGAACATTTAAATACTAAAAACTTAATTAGATTTCTTAAAGAAACATCTTTGTATAATTTAATATAATGTAGTAACTAATGTAAACTAATGTCGCTAATGACCCAGGTAGTTGAAGCGACTATTATTAGTAAATTAAAAAAAAATGTATGTTGTTTCTCAAGAAATCCTGTTTTTCATCAGGACAGTTTTCAAAATTAAATTAAAAGTAATCAAATCATCAAATAATGAATTATGTTTCTTACCACAGCTACAGCTACAAGTTCAGATGAATTGTTTGTTTTGGCATCGTTCGTCGCTACTACCAAAATAAAACTACACACTAACACCAGATACGAAAACTTAAAATTCGAACAATTTGTCATGTTTCGCTTTTTCAATCGACGGGATATAAATACATACACTAGATTTTTTGCTGTCAAAGTTCCCCTATTTCGACAACTCGAAATAGACAAATTCAGTTATTTATATTGTGATTGTAGACGCTGTTTTTTTCGAAATCAATAACAGAAATTAGTAAAAACGTCATTTGCATGAAACTGGTTCGAAATCTAAATGTAGACTGGCCAAATTTATAAGAATATATTAGATTTTAGTAAATATCATGAACAGCACCTGACCGACGCTCGACAAAACCTAAATAGCGGTGGACAAATACCATTTTTGAATTACATCAGTGGTGGCTCGTGTTTTTGGGATTCCAGCTTATGGCGATTTGTTGAATTTGCGTATATAATTGAAAAATTATTTAAACAATAAAACTACTACAACAAAAAAGAATAGTTTTTTCATAATTTTAATAATTTAAAAGTTGAAATAAATAACAAAAATTGGTTAAATGGAATATGCTGACGCCATAGCGATATTAACCAAATCTGATGATATTTACACAAAAAATTATCCAAATTTTATTATATACGTCGACAAATTAGCATGACTGTTAATTTGAAATTGTTTTAAATTTAATAAATTAGTTTGCAAAAATTAATTACAACCAAAAAAGTATAACATACAAAGAAAAAATTACTAAGCTATTAATTATTGAATAAGTAAATGTAAATGAGGATATATAAGACATCATCATGATCATCATCACCATCAGGGTGCTACAGCCTTAAATAACGTCGATCTTCTCAAGCTTTTGTGCCATTCAGCTCTATCCCTTACTTGTATTTTCCAGATTTACCGATCTTCTCAGCATTATGTGTTACCCCGTCGATTCACCTCAGCTTAAGTCTACACCGTCTTCTTATTCCCAACGGTTGAGTTGTTAGAATATTTTTTATCATGTTCGTTTCCGGGACCCGGGCCATCCCCTGCTCCTTGCAGATGATTTCGCTTGATTATAGTGGTAATATCATTTCCACCAAACGTATACTTCTAGATATTCTGCAGTTAAAGTTATATATACGCCTCCATATTCCGTTCTAACATACCACTCCGAATATCTTCAAAAATCGATAGAGAGGATTTACCTGTTTTGGTTAGGGTCCATGCCACTGGGGAATATCAGTGTTCTATACAGTCTTAAAAGAATTTTTTGAGACAGACGTTTGTTAGCTAAGTACTTTGATAGACCATTATAACACCTGTTTGAAATTGTGCTGTGGATTACCGTGGTTCTAGCCCTGGTTCTTGTTATAATCTTCACGTCATCAGAATATGCTAGAATTTAGACTAATCTATTAAATATAGTTCTCCTGTTATCTAAATTAGGGTCTCATACGACTTTTTCTAAGGCTATATTAAAAATATGATCTTAATTGCCTTAATATATTTCAAATGGTGCTGACGATTCTAATTTTTACTGCTGATAGCATCTTGGCCATTGTCACTTTTATCATGCATATAAGTTTTTTTGGAATTCCTGACTCAGTCATAGTGTAGCAAATACTTCGTCTTATGATATGGTAATATACATATAAGTTAGTACATATCTATATTAAACTCTTGCGCTTTTTTGAGAATTTGTCGTAGGGTGCTCTGCTTCACAGTTGAACTTTCTCGCCTGAAACCTGTCGGATACTGTCCTAGCGACGCTTCGGAATAAAACTTCTCTCATGAAAGATGTTTGACAGTATCTTGTATACTGTATTTAGAAGAATTATTTCGTGATAATCATTGCATTCTAGTTGGTTTTCTTTTTTGTGTAACGGACATATTAAGCCTAAGCTCCATTCCCCAGGTATTTGCTCCTCAGAACAAATTTTACACATTTTTTTTTGCATCACCTTGGTGAGTTTTAAATAATTCGACTGGAATGCCATCGCCATTTTTTTTACATTGATATTGTCACTTCTTCTACCGAGGGGGCTCCACAAATTTCTTTTTTCGGTACTCCAGTTCTATGTTGTTAGTAGTAATTAGACAAAGTCAAGAATTTTGGCTAAAGAATTTATATATACAGAAATAGAAGACCCCCAAAAATAATATGACATTTTCAACCCCCACAAGAAATTTAAATATACCTCAGGAATTAGGAAACTAAAAAATGCTCACGTATTTAAAAACACAGACGAAAAAATTTATAATTACAAATAACAGTCCAAAGAATGGGAGGGATAGATACTTTAGTTACCCTTTTGACGATTCATCTCGAGAAAATGATACACATACATATACGAGTACTAAACTTGGCAACCAGCTGGAACAGAGGTCCCAGTATACTGAAATCAGAAGTCGGCAAGCATATAATAAAGCATCTGGACTAGATCAGATCCCTGCTGAGCTACCTAAACTTTCGGACGGGGAAAAATTGCCTACGTAAGCATTTTCTTTAACCAAATTTACAACGAAGTAATAATACCGGATGATTGGTTGGAGTCACTGTTTATATCATTGCCAAGGAAAAGCTGGCCCACCAAATGCAACAATTTTTAGACTCTTCAGTTTATTGAGCCATACACTGAAAATACTTTTACGAATTATACAAAACCGAGTATTCTTTTGGTGCGAAAGTAGAATGGGTAATAAGCAATTTGGATTTAGAACTGGTCTAGGAACTAGGTAAAGAGACACTTTTTCGTATACGCGTTCGCTAGCAAAAAACTGTGAGTTCCGAAAGAAAGTTTATGTTTGTTTTATCGAGTTAGAAAAGGCATTCGACTGGGTATAACACGATACACTTTTTGATTGCTTGTGGGCAGGAGGACTACTATGATATAAACTGCTTAAATACTTATATTAAAATAAACTATTCTAAAAAGAAGAATAAAATACTTATATTACAATCAAGTAGTCTCTACCCAAACTGGAGGTAGTCGTACTGAAAAATTACCCATCAAATGTGGAGTACGACCGGATTATGTTTTGTCACCCAGTCCTTTTAATCTATACTCTGAAGAAATCGTTTGAGGGGCTTTGGATGACAGATAAGAGGGAGTAAGACTTTGCAGAGAAATAATCAAACTAATTTATTTACAGTCCTTACATATGCTAAATAAATAAACATAAAAAACCACCACAATGTTGGCATCTATATTTTGTTTTCCGGTTCTTCTAAAATCCACAAAATTTGCGTCTCCCAATTTTCCCTTTTCAACAGAAGCTTCGGTAGTATCTTGGTTTGTTAATTCTTTTAGACGTAACCGCATCAGTGTTGGAATGGACCTGTTTAGCACATGTGGGGTAAAAAGTTCACATGATCGATTATGAATGAAATTTCTTTTCAACATTTCAACATTCCCATTATTAGCCGCGTAAATAGTTTATACCAGCAATATTCATTATTGCATAAAATATTACTACAGGCCACCTTTGAGTAACAGGAGCTAAATTCACAGTGAAATCCGAACATGCTAAACTTTGATGATATGGTTGCAGGAACAGTAAACTCCTTTTTGTGTATGGTGCAAAATATTCAAATATTTCAATCATTGGAGAGGGATTTCTGTGTCTATATTTCATTTATAAGCTGCTGTAATGCCATAATGGTATCGTGGCCACCTTCTTTATATAGTTCAGCTGGGAGATAATCTCTTCCGGGTGATTTGTTTCTGGCTAGTTTTTTAACTGCATCTTTAACTTCAGGAATCGTTGGTGCTTCCTCTTCCTTCTCGTTTATTCCCCTTACCTCATCTGTTTCGTCTTCCAGGTTTTCTTCTTCTTTCTTTATAATAAGGGGCTGGTTAAAGTATTGCTCAGAACTATCCAATACATCTTTCCTTGTTGTTAATAGGTCGTTATTCGGACTTCTGCAATGACATGGATGCCTTGAATTCTTTACTGTTGATGTTAACTTCCTTATAGAATGCTCTGAATTTTTTCTCTCTGTTGAGATTTTAATAACTCTACAGTTATTTTAGTTTCGAAGAAAAGGATTCGTCGAAAGAAACTCATGACTGCGTAATATTAGGCAATGGTGTGGTGCCACACTATCCGCGCATCAGCCGATAGACAAAGGTTTCAGAAAATCGTAAACATGATGATGCCCAACGTCTGAATACGGATACTGCACCTAAAGAAGAAGTAGTTCTTCTTCTTCTTCTGGTTCCTATCCGTTTCGGATATTGGAAATCATATTGTCAATCATAACCTTGCTCGCTGCGGCTCGAAACAGCTCCGTTATGGTTTTCTTAAACCATGTTCTTAAATTCTCCTTCTACCGTGTCCTCGCTTACCTTTGACTTTACCTTGCAATATAGACTGTAGCAGGGAGTAACGGTGCTGATTTCTCATAACGTGCCCAGATATTGCAATTTTATGCGTTTGATCGTAAACACAATCTCTGGTTCCTTCTTCATTTTTCCTAGAACTTTCTTGTTCGTGATCCTTGCTGTCCATGATATTCTCAGCATTCTTCTATAAAGCCACATCTCAAATGCTTCAAGTTTTTTAATAGTGGTGTCTGTAAGCGTCCATGCCTCCGCCCGTACAACAACACAGAGAAAACATAGCATCTCAAATGTCTCATTTTTGTATCAAGGGATATGTTGTGACTTTTGAAGATGGCGCTCATTTTGTTAAAGACCGTTCTTGCCTTTCCTATGCGGCACTTTATTTCCTGTAAATTGCTCCACTGTTCGTTAATAATAGTTCCCAGGTAACAATGCTGTTTTACTCGCTCTATCTGCGTCCCATGAATGTATAGGTGAGCCCCGTTTATATTCTCCTTGCTCTAATCATTTGTTTAGTTTTGTGGGTATTAATGTTTAGTCCGTACTGTTGACTGTACTCGTTTATTCTATCCATTAGCCTCTGAAGTCCCTCTAAACTATCTGCTATCACCATGGTGTCGTCGGCATATCTAACATTGTTTACTCTTTCACCATTTAGAAGGATGCCTTCGTCTATTCCGTAAAGAGCCTCGTTAAAAATTTTCTCTGAGTACATATTAAATATCAACCGCGATAGGATATATCCCTGTCTAACTCCACGTAGTATTTTTATGTGATCTGTTTCTTCTCCGTTAATTTTCATGTATGCGGTCTGATTCCAGTAGAGTTCTGAAATTATTCTGAGGTCTTTGTCATCCAGGTCTGCCTCTTTTAAAATGTTTATCATCTTTTGATGTTGAACTCTGTCAAATGCCTTTTCATAGTCGATCAAGCA